ATGCTATACTTATTTTTAGGGCTGTCACTTCTCAGTGTACCACACAAGTAGAATCGAACAGTTTTCAAAGCAAACATCATTTATTATTATTTGGGGCTACAATAGCCCAATGGTGTTTGCATCAGATTGCCGTTTCCAGGGTCTGTGGTTCGCTCTCCGTCCACTGCTGGACTATTTCAAAATAATTCTCGAAATTTTCATTGCTTTTGAGCTTAATAAATCGTTCAACAAAAATGTCATAATGATTTTTCACTGTATCTGGCACGAGTCGATTTTAAGTACAAGTGAATACTCTCTCCAAAAGTAAAGCTGCTTTGACGACCTAAAAACTCATAACAAACCGTTTAAAACAAATTAAATCGAAAACTAACAAAATTACTCATAATTTGTCACTAACAAACACTTAAAAATGCGTTGAGCATCTACTAATTTACTACTAATTAGTGTAGTAATACTACAAGTCCCATTACACGCCGCCATTGCAGTAATAATGGGAAGTAATGATGGGAATCCTATGGTCATGGCTTCCGCGTCGTCTGTCCGTCGCACCATGACGGTATTTATGTATATGCGTAAGTAAATAAATTATAAATGAATTGCAGCCTTCATTGCTATTACTGATTGTGTCACTATCAGCAATTCGACATTATAGGCTCTCATAGGTAGTTAGTCTCAGATCCAGAGGTCCTGGATTCGATTCCTAATAGGAGCAAAATTTTCTAAACGGTTTAAGTGGTTACAGAGCTAGTTCTAAATCTGCTTGGCTAGTTACCGCCATCTTATCTAACTGATAATTACCAAAAGCATAAAAATGACTTTTAATGCATATTCTACACCTATTTCATTACATTTAAAGATAACTTTTGAGATGAAAACTATCTCACGTCCTTCCCAGGGACCAAATAATTTCCATCGAATGTAAAATATCGGCTATGCTGTTTAAGGCTGAGTTGCACCAACTTACTTTAACCGTAACTTTAACAATACCCGGTGTTTTTTGTATGGAGTTTGACAGAGTTCTGACGCTTGTTAAAGTTAAAGTAACAACTGCCTTGTTATGCATAAAAAAATGCAACTCAGTCTAAGTGTTAAAAGGTAACAGACAGACAGAGTTCCTCTCGCATTTATAATTAGCATGAATTAAAAACCTCATTACGACCTTTATTGCTCTGACAACGGAATAAAACAATTAAACAGAAGTAAATCAAGATAAAGCATAAGCCTACTGATGACGGTCCACGCGTGGCCTTGTCCAGCTGTGGGAGTGTACGACGCGATTACGATGCACGATGAATCGTAATAAAAATCGTCACGCGATTGAAATCGAAAGGGAACGATGACTCTACATTTCTGGAACAAGATTCTCAATCTGTTTTTACCCCCTCTATTTACTACAACAATCAAAGAAGCCACAAAACAGTTCTTTAATTTAAAAAAGGCAAAAAGGAGGATGTGGATGAAGAAAAGAAGTATATGACTAAACTAGCTTTTGCCCGCGGCTTCACCCGCGTGAAATTAATATGTCACAGATCGTCATAAATTATAGCTTATATGTTATTCTGGGTCATAAAAAATAATACTGTAAAGTTTCATCAAAATCCGTTCAGTAGTTTTTGCGTGAAAGAGTAACAAACATCCAGACATCCAGACATCTAGACATCCAAACTTTTCCATTTACGAGTATAAAGGATAAGAAGTTAGTAACTATAAGGATTGCGTAGTAGAGGAAAAATATGTTGCACTTTAAATGGCCTATACAAAGTAGAGGTAAATGATACCTATTAAATTATTAATTTGATGTGCCTTTACAATAATTTTGTTAAGTTTTGATTGATGAGACACTAGACTCAATAGACATTTTATTACTTGAGGCTTGGTGAGTGGCATCCAACGTGTCAAAACCACTTTTATGTGGGATCTTCTTCTTTTTTTCCCTAGCCCTTTTTAAAATTATTTGGGATCAGCTCTCCTTGTTCTTAAACGCCAGGATAGTCTGTCCAGGGTCGAAATATTTGTCTGGGTACGCTCTAAGTCCTGGAATAAGGAAATTCTCAAAATTACTAGTACAGTTTGAGAACCGCTGTACTAGAGCATGAATGAAGCTCTACACGCGACTAATCGCTAGATTGGTTCTGCGAATCGGTTTGGACGCGTTGGACGACTGAGACAAGGTCAGATGTTAATTGCGGGAATCGTTCAGCGTTCGTAGAGTATTCTACCAGTAAATTGAGCAGAAAATTAAACTTTCATAGAGATATCCATCTAGTTCACAAAAAAACACAGCAGTCTGTCAAATGTTAAGAAGCCCAGTTTTAGTTAAGCCGGCGTCGTTTCAATTTTATATGAATTAGGAAAATTTTTTATTCATCATCTGATCATTTAATCTCCACTGCAGAAATTGGTAAATGGAGCTTTTTCTCAATATACTAAAATACCAGGCGAATTTCGTACCGCCTATGTTCATCATAAATAATGTAGGATTCGTGAAACTATTTTTCAATCAGTCCAGTAGTTTTGGAGCCTATTAAATACAAACAAAAAAAAACTTATATATAATTAAATTAGTGTAGATTTTTAAGGCTTGCACGTTTTTATGTAGAAAAGACTTGTAGTACTCATACCAGTATGTATAAAATTCATTAGTGAACACACACTGAACTCACGCGACTGACACTGACACAGGCCGTCATTTCACGGATGACAGACGTCACTTTTTCATCAGTAATGACGGTCTTCCTTCGACCAAGGGCAGCCGTGAGAGGCATTACGTACGGGGTGTAATTTGTGCCGCTTCCGTGTTCACTCTGAGGGCAGAGGTTGCAATTTTCAGGTGGTTTTCATGGGAAAAATTCAATGTATGGTGAAGAATAGGTACAATATTTTGGTCTTTGAACTGTTTTACTTCTGTCATTTGAATGAAATTATCCTTCTACATTCTTCGTTTGGACGGTAGACTTTTCTACGTAATTATTACGAATTTAAAGAGAAAAGATTTGATTGTTTGTTTTTATTGTAAAGGTTTCGAAATTACTGGACTGATTTGAAAAATTATTTCACCATTAGAATCCTAAATTATTTCTGATGAACATAGGCGGTAAGAAGAAGCAGTACGAATATGGCTAAACCTATAGCTTTCCATAATGTAAATCTATCTTACCTACCTACTAACTTGCTATAGTTTTTGGATCGAAGGGGTTCACATAGTTAAAATAAATAAAAGTTGCTCAAAAATCACTAACTAAAAATTAAACACTATTTAATCGTCAAATGTTTAAGGAAAAATCGTTTAATATTTGTTTTTGTTTCTGTCATATTTTTTTCCCTAGTAGTGCTTCAAGGCAAACATGTAACAAGTAAAATAACACTATATAAATACTAAACTATGACTATCTTTTCGATCGTAGTAACGTACGGGTATGAACAGGTCAAGTGTGGGCAGGCCTGCTACTAGGTGGACCGACGATCTGGTAAAGGTCGCGGGAAGAGCCTGGATGCGGGCAGCGCAGGACCGTTTGTGGAAAACCTTGGGGGACGCCTTTGTCCAGCAGTGGACGTCATTTGGCTGAAAGGAACTAGCGAACGAACGAACGTATGAACGACGTCATATCAAACTAAACGATGTAGTATCTTTGGTAATTTTGATAAGTGCTATTTTGCTTAACTATCGCCCGTATTCACAAACATTACTATGAGGTCTCACAGTGCACGTGGACGCACAGGGTGACACACGAACCAATCACAGAGCTCTATTCAACGCTGTGCGTTGTGAATACGGGCGTAGGTATAACTTGATAAGACTGTACTTTGCCATTGATGTAAAACTACACAACCTTAATTCTGCAAACTGAATGGGGGCTTCATGAATGAACCAAGAGCAGTGCCATTATATGTTAATTCATTATCTAGCATCGCTAATTAGAAGCGTAATAAGTGTAAAATCGCTTCCATCCGGCCAGCAGAAGTGGGTACGGTAGGCAAAGCAAGGTGACTCCTAGTTAAGTATCATCATGATTAGACGTCATTATCATAGTTTCAGGACATACCCGGTCAAGTTAACTGCGTACCTGGCAGCCGTGACGTCACACCGACGCTCTGGTACGGACGGGGCGAACGCGGGGAAGGTGTGGGTGAGTGCGAGGGAGAGTCGCATTCCAGCGAGGTGCGCAGTTGTCTCAAGTTATATGTATAGAACGTTGATTTTAATGCTCAGGTCTTAGCGCACCATTTGTATACTAACCCTGACGCGTTGAACACTAGTTTCAAATGATATTTCCATATTATACGTCGCTTTAAACTAGTCTTCAACGAATGTGTGTAACTATGTCAGCTTTACCATGAGTTTACATTATACGTCATCGCTAGCGAGTGCGTCAAAAATCTATGAAGAAAGCTCGAAAGTAACCGCCAGGGGCGCTGTACAAACTGTCATACATTTGCGTCACTTTTTTACGCAGTTGCTAGCGAGCACACCTAATTTCAACTCATGGTAAGCACTCTGTTAGGAGTGACTCTACCAACTTCAACTCTACTATTCGTGGTAACAAATCAGTTAAATCAAGCACTCGTTCTAGGACTTAATTAGGGTTTTTATATCTATCGTTGCATCCTGTTTACCCACAAAAGTCTTGTTCGGCGACAATAACAGGTAGTTAATATTAAATCAAGATTCTTAGGCTGAGTTGCATCATCTTACGTCAAAAGGCTGTTAAACTGCATACAAAACACACAGATTACGGTTAAAATAAGGTGGTGCAACTCAGTCTTATAAATCTGCGCGCTGCTTTATACACTGGCGATTTGGAACACGGCGATGTCACGTCTCGAAAACGGAGCGTGTTCGTTACCTGCACGCTGCGATCTCGCCTCGCTGTGAAATCGCTAGTGTGAAAAGACTTATGCTCGTATGAGCGACTGAAAATTTGTCATTTTTCTTATCTTTCACATGGACGACTTAAATTGTGCCTAAAGATAAATCTAAAGAATAAAAATGCATTACTTACTCTTTCTTATTGTTGACTACAATGACTAGCTTCACTTTCCGAGGGCCCTTGGTCATTTTGCAGATCTCCTTGCCTTTTTCTCCCGGGCCCTGGGTCAGTATTTTTAGTAGAGGAATGTTTCCGGGGGTTCCCCTCGCAGCCAGACCGGCTGGTCCAGCCGTCACCTCGTGCACATCGTCACTAACTACCCTCCCCCATTGTCAACTCAGTCTTGATTCACTTGTCATTAATACTACACAAATCACTTCAGGTAACACTGATTTTAATACTGATCTGGAAAAGGTTTGATNCGTTCAACGTAATTGTAGCGTAGGCAGGCCTCCCACTAGGTGGACCGACGATCTGGTGAGGGTCGCGGGAGGTGCCTGGATGCGAGCGGCGCAGGACCGGTCTTTGTGGAAATCCTTGGGGGAGGCCTTTGTCCAGCAGTGGACGTATTTCGGCTGAACTGAACGAACGAAATCATTCAACAAAATGTCTCAATGATTTTTCGTAGTTTTTGCGCATGAGTCGATTTTTAACAACTGTGAATGCTCTCTCCAAAATTAAAGCTACTTTGACGACCTAAAAACTCATAACAAACCGTTTAAAACAAATTAAATCAAAATTAACAAAATTACACATAATTTGTCTCTAACAAACACTTTTAAAATGCGTTGAGCATCTACTAATTTACTACTAATTAGTGTCGTAATACTACAAGTCCCATTACACTCCGCCATTGTAGTAATAATGGGAAGTAATGATGGGAATCCTATGGTCATGGCTTCCGCGTCGTCTGTCCGTCGCACCATGACGGTATTTATGTATATGCGTAAGTAAATAAATGATAAATGAATTGCAGCCTTCATTGCTATTACTGATTGTGCCACAATAAGCAATCCGACATAAATAGTCTCTCATAGGTGGTAAGACTACCTATCTCAGATCCAGATTCGATTCCCAGTGGGGGCAAAATTTTCTGCTCGGTTTTATTGGTCGCAAAGCTTGTTCTAAATCTGCTTGGCAGCTACCACCATATTATCTAAGTTATGAAATTACTTTTAATTCATATTCTACCCCTTTTTCATTCCATGTAAAGACAATTTTTGAGGTAAAAACTATCTCCCGTCCTTCCCAGAGTCCAAAACTATTTACATACAATGTGCAAAATGTAATTTTCTTCTTCTCAGTCGGGACACTCTTGTCAGAGTGGTCGTGGTCATCATTTTGAATCACGATTCAGAGTGATGTTCCTCGTAATACGGCGCCATTCCTCGCGGACTGCAGCTTTCCGGGTACTTTCGCTAACCGAGCACTTAGTTGCGGCCTTGATCATACTTAGAAAATGTAATACATACTCGTATAAATAAGTTCGCTGTTTACTTAAACAAACGTCAAAAATTTGTCAAACTCTATAAACACAGACTATGGTTATACTTACGGTTAAAATAAAGGTGGTACAACTTAGCCCAAATGTTAAAAGGTAACAGACAGACAGAGTTCCTCTCGCATTTATAATTAGCATGAATTAAAAACCTCATTACGACCTTTATTGCTCTGACAACGGAATAAAACAATTAAATAGAAGAAAATCAAGATAAAGCATAAGTACTCTTAGCGATGACGGTCCACGCGTGGCCTTGTCCAGCTGTGGGAGTGTACGACGCGATTACGATGCACCATGAATCGTAATAAAAATCGTCACGCGATTGAAATCGAAAGGGAACGATGACTCTACATTTCTGGAACAAGATTCTCAATCTGTTTTTGTCCCATATCTATCACAAAATGCCCCAAAACAAAGCTTTTAAGCAGTTTGTCACATTGCTTTTGCCTCCGTGGAATTCAAACCAGCGATTTCAGCTGATTTTCTGTCAGATACGGATATCATCAGAACGTGACGGTCAATTAACTTTCTGTTCAAATCTTGGGGATATATGTAGATATTAAATTTAACCATGGACCATAGAATAATATTAATGTTAGAAGGTTAGAGAAACTGGACAACCAAAGAAACCATAGAAGAGCGTGTAGCTTCGTTTTGGAGAACGGAACATTGCACTAAATAGACTAGAAAAAAACAGTTTTATGATAAATCATTTACATGATTTAAAGCCTTTTGAAATCCTTTTTTTTATCTGTCCTACAAAAGTGGTTTTGATAAAACATGGACATATTCTGTAGGACACCCCGCAGGGGCCGAGAGCACAGTTTGAGAACCACTGTACTAGAGCATGAATGAAGCTCTACACGCGACTAATCGCTAGATTGGTTCTGCGAATCGGTTTGGACGCGTTGGACGACTGAGGCAAGGTCAGATGTTAATTGCGGGAATCGTTCAGCGTTCGTAGAGTATTCTACTAGTAAATTGAGCATAAAATTAAACTTTTAGTAGGACATAGCTATATCCTCTAGCTTTCTCTCTCTTTCTCATAAAGGTAGCAGGAAGCCGCTGGATGCAGGCAGCCATCAACCGACCAGTATAAAAATCATTGAGGGAGGCCTATAGTCAGTAGTGGACGTCTAGTGGCTGAAATTATGATGATGATGATAAATAATGATAACTAAGAGGCGACTTAGGGACTACACATCAAACAGAGAACGGGCAGCAGCGCTCTCTGAAAAACATCAATCTTTTAAAGTGCGATCTCCAACCCGCCTGCCAAGCGTGGAGATTATGGCAAAACCCGGCTCCACTATAGTGGAGGAGGCGCATACTCCAGCAGTAGACTGTAAAGGGCTGTTGATAATGAATACATTTTGTTTGGCTCCAAAAAAATCTTTCTGATGAACATAGGCGGTACGAAGTTGCCAGATTAGCTAGTTTTATAACATTTTTAACGCTTGCATAACTTGTGCATAGGTAAGTTTAATCTTGTTTTTATGCAGAAAAAACTTGACGTTACTCATACCAGTATGTATAAAATTCATTAGTGAACACACACTTAGAACTCACGCGACTGACACTGACACAGGCCGTCATTTCACGGATGACAGACGTCACTTTTTCATCAGTAATGACGGTCTTCCTTCGACCAAGGGCAGCCGTGAGAGGCATTACGTACGGGGTGTAATTTGTGCCGCTTCCGTATTCACTCTGAGGGCTGAGGTTGCAATTTTCAGGTGATTTTTATGGGAAAATTTAAATCTATGGTGAAGAATACAATATTTTGGGTTTTGAACTGTAAATTGCTCGTTATCGAATGAAATCATCGTTCTACATTCTTCGTTTGGACGGCAGACTTGTCTACGTAATTATTACGAATATAAAGAGGAAATATTTGATTGTTTTTTTGTATTGTTCGTTCGTTCGTTTCAGCCAAATGACGTCCACTGCTGGACAAAGGCCTCCTCCAAGGTTTTCCACAATGCACGGTCCTGCGCTGCCCGCATCCAGGCTCTTCCCGCGATCTTTACCAGATCGTCGGTTCATATTTGTATTGTATAGGCTCCGAAACTACTGGACCGATTAAAAAAAATTCTCCATTAGAATCTTACATTATTTCTGAAGAACATAGGCGTTAAGAATGTCTCCTATCATAATAGTATATGTATAACTATGGCTTTCTTAAAGGTAAATCTATCTTACCTACTAACTTGCTATAGTTTTTGGACCGAAGGGGTTCACATAGTTAAAATAAATAAAAGTTCCTCAAAAATCACTAACTAAAAATTAAACACTATTTAATCGTCAAATGTTTAAGGAAAAATCGTTTAATATTTGTTTTTGCTTCTGTCATATTTTTTTCCCTAGTAGTGCTTCAAGGCAAACATGTAACAAGTAAAAGAACACTATATAAATACTAAACTATGACTATCTTTTCGATCGTAGTAACGTATGAACGTTCTGGTAAAAGTCGCAGGAAGAGCCTGTTTGCGGGCAGCGCAGAACCGTTTGTGGAAAACCTTGGGGGACGCCTTTGTCCAGCAGTGGACGTCATTAGGCTGAAAGAACGAGCGAATGAACGAACGTCATATCAAACTAAATGATGTAGTATCTTTGGTAATTTTGATAAGTGCTATTTTCCGTATTCACAAACATTACTATGACGTCTCACAGTGCACGTGGACGCATAGGGTGACACACAAACCAATCAAGGAGCTCTATTCAACGCTGTGCGTTCAATTTGCTGCTTCATTTAAGCAAGTATCGTTTGTGAATACGGGCGTAGGTATAACTTGATAAGACTGTACTTTGCCATTGATGTAAAACTACACAACCTTAATTCTGCAAACTGAATGGGGGCTTCATGAATGAACCAAGAGCAGCGCCATTATATGTTAATTCATTATCTAGTATCGCTAATTAGAAGCGTAATAAGTGTAAAATCGCTTCCATCCGGCCAGCAGAAGTGGGTACGGCAGGCAAAGCAAGGTGACTCCTAGTTAAGTATCATCATGATTAGACGTCATTATCATAGTTTCAGGACATACCCGGTCAAGTTAACTGCGTACCTGGCTGCCGTGACGTCACACCGACGCTCTGACGGTGTGGGTGAGTGCGAGGGAGAGTCGCATTCCAGCGAGGTGCGCAGTTGTCTCAAGTTATATATAACGTTGATTTTAATGCTCAGGTCTCAGCGCACCATTTGTATATTAACCCTTAGGCCCGGTTTTTTGATTCGTAGTTAAAATAACCAATGGTCAAATTTGACAGATGTCAAATGACAAGTGGTTAAATATCAGAAAAAAATGTTTTTCGAACAATGGTTAGCTTGACTTTTAGTACATTTTTTAACTATTAGTTTACATTTTGTTAATATTTAACCATTAGTAGCAAAATTTAACAATTAGTTATTTTAACTATGAATCAAAAAACTGGGCCTTACGCGTTGAACACTAGTTTCAAATGATATTTCCATATTATACGTCGCTTTAAACTAGTCTTCAACGAATGTGTGTAGCTATGTCAGCTTTACCATGAGCTTACCATCGCTAGCGAGTGCAAAAATCTATGAAGCAAGCTCGAAAGTAACCGCCAGGGGCGTTGTACAAACTGTCATACATTTGTGTCACTTTTTTACGCAGTTGCTAGCGAGCACACCTAATTTCAACTCATGGTAAGCACTCTGTTAGGAGTGACTCTACCAACTTCAACTCTACTATTCGTGCTAACAAATCAGTTAAATCAAGCACTCGTTCTAGGACTTAATTAGGGTTTTTATATCTATAGCTCCATCCTGTTTACGCACAGTCTTGTTCGGCGACAATAACAGGTAATATTAAATCAAGATTCTTAGGCTGAGTTGCATCATCTTACGTCAAAAGGCTGTTAAACTTCATACAAAACACACCGATTATGGTTATAGTTACGCTTAAAGTATTGTGGTGAAACTCAGTCTGTCAAATCTGCGCGCTGCTTTACACACTGGCGATTTGGAACACGGCGATGTCACGTCTCGAAAACGTAGCGTGTTCGTTACCTGCACGCTGCGATCTCGCCTCGCTGTGAAATCGCTAGTGTGAAAAGACTACACTCGTATGAGCGACTGAAAATTTGTGTATTGTATTATCTTTCACTTAGAAATTGTTATATTCTTAAATTGTGCCTAAAGATAAATCTAAAGAATAAAAATGCATTACTTACTCTTTCTTATTGTTGACTACAATGACTAGCTTCACTTTCCGAGGGCCCTTGGTCATTTTGCAGATCTCCTTGCCTTTTTCTCCCGGGCCCTGGGTCAGTATTTTTAGTAGAGGAATGTTTCCGGGGGTTCCCCTCGCAGCCAGACCGGCTGGTCCAGCCGTCACCTCGTGCACATCGTCACTAACTACCCTCCCCCATTGTCAACTCAGTCTTGATTCACTTGTCATTAATACTACACAAATCACTTCAGGTAACACTGATTTTAATACTGATCTGGAAAAGGTTTGATTTAGTCTCGAGTCGATTTCGTTTAAGGATTATGATAAAATCGATGATTTATTTTGTTAATCTTTTTATCAAAACGTGAATTTTTGTTGTGGTGGCGGAATTCGGCTTTTACACGTCAATTCTTAAAATCAAATACACATAATTTAAAACTATTTTTATTTTTACAATTTTAAATTATGTAACGCATGTGTAACACTTGTGTTCACTTAGTGATAGATGTTATCATTGTGGTGCGAAACCTGCATGAGTGAGACGTCAAGATTTCGGATGATGGACGATGATGTATATGATTTTGATAACGTATCTGGCAGGATCAAGTTTAGGCAACGTCAAATCTGAGGCTCTAGTTTTTAGGCTTATCGCTAACGAAAAGATTTAAGTCTTGCAAATATGGCGTCTTAGTTTCTGATACTTTATGTTATCAGCCTTTGGGTGGATTCGACCAAACAAGAGTAAATATTAATATCAGAATAAATCGTCAGTTTTGACATATTTCCCATACTGAAACTGTCAATGTGCCAGTTATACCAGGAGTTATTCTCGGATAAAAGATCGGGCATTACAGTGAGAAGGTTTTATTTCAAAGTTATGTGGTATTTTGAACATAAGTATTTAATGCTGAAAGCCTTCACGATAAAGTAAAACTTTGTTACAATGTCATCGCAATATTTTAATGTTAGTAAGTATAATTTATTGGATTTGATTCCATTTATTGCTGTAATGAAAGAGACGTGTTACGTTCCTCAGCTTTGTGTGAACGACAAGGAAGAAGTAGGTAATTGGATGAAAAGTCAAGAATTATCAAAGTGATTATGAATTTCTCAATGTCGTGTGATAAAGCTATTTAAATAGTTTTATTTTTGTATCAGATTCAGTTTAACATCAGGTAAGATTACTGTTAAACATCTGCTAATCAAATAAAATATACATAGTTTATTTGTGAAAACAATATCTGTTTAAATTCAAATTATTTATTGCATGTCACATGGCATGGGTAAGGGTTGATAGAACATAATTTTGTACATGTTTTTTGTTTATGCTTTGTAAGTATAACGTTGATTAATAAAATTAGGCATACTATGTCTATTTGTATAGTACTTACATTTTGATGACGTNAAGGATTATGATAAAATCGATGATTTATTTTGTTAATCTTTTTATCAAAACGTGAATTTTTGTTGTGGTGGCGGAATTCGGCTTATACACGTCAATTCTTAAAATCAAATACACATAATTTAAAACTATTTTTATTTTTACAATTTTAAATTATGTAACGCATGTGTAACACTTGTGTTCACTTGGTGATAGATGTTATCATTGTGGTGCGAAACCTTCATGAATGAGACGTCAAGATTTCGGATGATGGACGATGATGTATAGCGATTCTGATAACGTATCTATCTGGCAGGAACAAGTTTAGGCAACGTCAAATTTGAGGCTCTAGTTTTTAGGCTTATCGCCAACGAAGACTTAAGTCTTGCAAATATGGCGTCTTAGTTTCTGATACTTTATGTTATCAGCCTTAGAGTGAAAAGGTTTAATTTGAAAGTTTATGTGGTATTTTGAACATAAGTATTTAATGCTGAAAGCCTTCACGATAAAGTAAAACTTTGTTACAATTTCATCGCAATATTTCAATGTTAGTAAGTAATGAAAGGGACATGTTACGTTTCTCAAGTTTAGTTAGTTAGAAGTAATTGGAAGAAAAGTTAAGAAATCGAATTATCAATGACCGATATGTCGGCCAATAATATTTCACTCGCTAGCTCTTCAGTTACTCCATGATCATGGCGCTTGCAACAATGCCGAAATATCGGACAGCAATCCCGTCAATTATTCTATCAAAGTGATTTAATTTCACAATGCCGGGTGATATACTAAAGGAATAAATAGTTTAATTTGTGTATCAGGCTCTGATTGCGGTTAAATATCTAAATAAAAATATTTTTAAAGTTTATTAATAAAATTAGGCATACTGTGTCTATTTGTATAGTACTTACATTTTGATGTCAAAGTCAAAGTCAAAGTCAAAATTTCTTTATTTGTTTAGACTAATAAATAGTTCTTACAAATCGTCATTTTGCTCTTAAGGAGCCTCTACATGTCTCATAATCTTTTTACCCTACCAGCGCTTCGAGACCAACATTTGGCAAGTGCTGAGAAGAAGCGCCGCAACAAACTCAGTCACCACTGTCTGCCGGTTAATATAAATAAATAGAAATAGCATATAGCGGATGACGTAAAGAACCTAAGACAAATCGTCAGTCATTGGAGATTAAGTCGCGCTGTGTGCGGAAGGCCTAACTTCGTAAATATATGACGAACTCTACAATCGCTGTTACGTCTGTTTGTTCGTCTCTAATTGTGGAATGTATAATGTGTATAAGTAGTATATACAAATTGACCTAGTGACAAGTGTTAACATAATTTAAAGCATCGTTTTAAGTATTTTTTGCGGTTGTTATCTCGTAAACCGATTCACACTGCTTTGTAATTCTAGTGCGACATTGAAATGTTTGTGCTGTAAGAAAAGGGGAGTTTCTATCACTTTTATCTAAATTTATTTTATTTATTTATTACATAGCTATATTTAACCATTACATCTTTGTTTAAATAGTGTCTATCTAGATTGGTACTTCATGCATTAGTTATTTATAAAGACTTAACAGTTATGTAGAGAATCTATTTACTCGTAAATCGTAATTTATCTATTTTAAAGACTAGTTATTCACCTTTTGCTGATCATCCTGGTATCTGTCAGATAAACTACAAGTTTTGTTTTTTTAGGTTTCAGACATAGAAAATTTTAGAGAGCGATGTTAGATAAATATCTGAAATCTTTATCGGTGAACGGGCTTTATCCCGTTTTCACCGTCGATCTCAAATTTTAAATGACCCCTATGGTAACACTTAACAGGAATTTTGTTATCCTAAGGGTCACTTAAAAATTAGGGATTATTCTTCTTCATTCATCATCAGACTTTGTTTCAGGCTTTCATCTGACATACGATCAAATAACCTTGAAAACCTGTATTTTACCACATTATTATGTTATTAATACGAGTGTTCTTACGATTGTAGTAATCGGATTTGTTTCGTCAAGAATGTTTGATATAGTTAAATCCAATATCTGTAAAGCTTTATTGATGGGTCTAGTATCAAGTAAAGGTATATCAAACGTGACGTGTGAAATTGATTTATTTATTTACGAAAAACCAAGCGTTACAAAAAATACAAAGTACTTATCAATTGGTAAAACTTTGATAAGTTGTCACCATTTCACAGTATCTTTTGTCAGTCCTACTGGGCTAAGAGCCAATGAACGCCAGACTGTATTATTTTGTAAAAACTGAAAGTTTGTCAGCGCATGCTCCCATTATATAAGTGAGAACGTTGGGATGAAGTTTGGGTTATGGTGGCTTTGGCAGCTACCCTAAAAACATGTCTGGCAAAGGTTTGGAACGGTCAAAACTATCTGGCTGAAGAGGAAACAACATCTTATAATGTTTCTCAAATTCTTAGCGTGAAAATTCGAATTTATAACAGTGTTGGTACATTTTTTTCTATTCAGTGTTTTCAGAGTGAAGGTTTGGGAAGAACATGCAATTTTTTATGATTACTCGTATCTTTCAGTCTCGTAACTAGCAATTTAAAAGTAAATTCTTACATAAATTGCATAAAAAAGATGCAAAAGTGGCCTATTTACGTAACGGATTACCGTTATCGTTATCACTGACAGACAAGATTGAGAGCGAAAGGGCTAGTCTGCGATTAGGTAGGTATATAATGTATTACCTAGACAGAATTTCGTGCATTTTCACTGGCTTTGCACCAAATATACCGCTAGCTACCGATGTTTTGACATGCAGTTTAATATAATGTTTGGTAGTGTTATAGCGTCTAACTTTTATAATATTGCATTGGATCTTTCATTATGTAAATACGAGTAATTACGTATAAGTACCTACTCGTATCTTTATAAAAATTGTTTTGCTGAGCACAAAACTCGAGAGCCAAGGGGTTTTCTGGAAAGGAAATTAGAAAAACTGAAATTCATACGAGAAGAAGGTAGTTACTATCATGGACCTATAAAAAAAGGCGGACGGAACTCGCGCTACAACAAAACTGTGACGCAAAATTTTGGCGTTTGTCTATTGTGTGAGTGAATTTAGGGATGCCATGTTAGCCAAAACATTTTACCCATTTATTTTAAGAAAAACATAGATCGGCAGATGTTACTTGGAAATGTAGACAGAATTATTCCGTGCCATTTTAAAAGGATGAAAGGTGTATGCGTTGAGGTAGGCGCGAAATTTTTAATGTTCAAATTTTCTTACATTGTTTGCAAGTCAGTGTGTCAGGGTATGTACATAATGTTGATCAAAAATAATTCACGCAGTTACAAATTACGAATCTTGTGTACATTATAATCATAATCTTATGCATCATCAATATATTATTATTATCTCTGATAGATATTTTTTAACATACAACCTGACACTGACTTGCAATCAATGTAAGAAAATTTGAATTTCGCAGTTCCACATTTTTGGGAAGGATCAAATTTGCCTATGAAAATATATCCCATTAAAACACAATAATTATGATAAATTATTTTATTTCCATAGTATGCGTAATACATAACTAAAAAGTCCTAAAATCATTATTAATTTCCCATATTTCGGGTAATTTTCCCACGTAAATAACTGAGAACACTGGTCTTTGACGTATTATTTTTTCGAGTGAATGACGTTTGATTTCAATTAATTTCAATATTTTAATGTCGGGAAATAAGTGATTGGATTATTATTTTACCTGTGAAATGTGATTCCTTAATTTTTGTTTGTTCGAACAGAACGGTTTTTACACCGTGGGAATTCCTAAGTATACTATAACCTGCCCAGGAGTATGAAAAATAATTGTACCAAGTTTCGTTAAAATCCGTCGAGTAGTTTTTGTTTTTTTCTTATGAATTTTGATGGCCA